CCTCTTTAATTTAATCAATTTATTCGTTCCTTTATTCCTTTTACAAAGTTTTCTTTACTCTGCATTTCACTCTTTTCCTATAGTTCTTTGAAGTTTATCTTTTCAATCCACCCGAAATGTCAACTTCTATATCACAATATCATGTCATGAGAGCTACCGGATATTATGATATAACTTATGAAACACCCTTGTCAAACCAAGCTTATATCATTTGTGAAATAATATCTCATTTAGAAATTCAAACCGACTTGGCTGCTTGTTGTTTAGTGTCCCGTCTATGGAACACTTGCGTGACACCAAAATTATGGAAAGCTCCATGTATGAAACGCGCTTCAACCTTTGATAAATTTATTAGAACATTGGTGAGATCAAAACAGAATCCTGCTACCTTATATACTTATGGCTGTTTTATTCAGAATCTCGACTTGTCGCGACTTACATTAGCTTGTTCGGCTGCCGAATTGGGTCTGATATCTGAATGTTGTGGTGTGTTGAAACACCTTGACTTTTCTAACGTTCAAGAATTAAGGGATGATGTTTTGAGTAGAATTGCGGGACGTTGTTCAGATTTGAGATCATTAAAATTATTGAATTTACCTCACATTACTGATGATTCTTTGAAGCAGATCATCGATAGGTGTCGTCTTTTAGAACATCTCTCTTTTGGTGATTGCGCAAACGTTAAGAATGATTCATTGCTTCGACTTGCCTATGCGAAACACCTTACAACCCTTGAAATTTATATTGGAAATACCATTGAAATTCATACCTTTATGCTTATAACACAACATTGTTTAAGGTTGAAGAATTTACATATTTGGGATTGCGGTTTGCTTGATGACAACGCTATAACCACTATGGCCATTAATATGAATGAGAATTTAGAATCCCTAATCCTTCAAAACACTCCATATATAACCGATTTATCAATGACACAGGTGGCATATAGATGTCCTAACCTTCGTCATTTAAGTTTGGAACCATATGAAAGGGTGACGGATGCGACCTTATTCGCTCTGGCTGATTATTGTTTGCATTTAGAATCTCTTCAAGTGAATTTGCATAGATCAAAGCAATTTTCCAATCGTGGATTCTTGATGATAGCTGAACGATTGAGAATGCTTAGTAAAGTGACTTTTCAATATTCAACGCCACTTGTCACTGACGTTACTTTAAGCATGTTGGGTATTAGGAATGCTAAAAGCTTAACATATCTTCATCTTTATAATTGTAGCTTTACTGATTCATCTTTCTTGGTGCTTGAAACGATTCGTCCACCGATTAATGATCTTTGCTTATTCAATTTACCTGATGTTACGGATGAGCCCATAATTGCTCTACTTGGGAGTATTTCCGAAACTCTTTCAATTTTACAAATTTCGAATTGTGACCGACTTACAGAAGAAGTAGTAATATCTGGTATAAGATACTGTAGAGGTTTAAGAAAATTAAGTTTATTTTCATCCACGGATTTTACTATTCGTGGCTTAGATGCGATCGTTTCAGTATGCTCACAGTTAAAAGAATTTTATTTATCCAGTACCGAAGATATTCCGAATACGGTAAATTTACTTGTTTGCGTTATTTTATTTTGTTATTTTGTTGCTTTATTAATAATGTTTCTTTAATGACATTGTGTTTTCATTTATGATAGGTTATCGCACCAACGTTAACACGTTTAAGGTATCTTGAAAAATTACGAATTCGTGTCTGTCCTAGTTTAACACAGGATGATGTATTGATGATTTGTTGTGGTTGTGCTCAATTACAAGAATTCTTTTTTGGACGCAGTAATTATTTGAATGAATCTTTTGTTCAACATTATAATGACGATGGAAGAAAAAAACCCCTTTTAGTATTGGGTCCATAAAATTTGACATCGTTTAAATTATCGGATTCATATAATATCACCATTTTTGAATTAAATTTATCACTTGTAAGATAGATCACAAAGAATTTGAGCAGGACTTTTTTTTTTTTTTATATTTTTTATTTTTTTAATTTTTTTTTTTTTGAAAAAAGTTTCCTTTCAAATACTTGTACCACCAACAATTTAACTATTTTTTTATGCCATTTGTTACGTCGTACATTGTATGGTAATGTATAATAATTTAAAAATAACGACAAAAGAGATGAAAAAAAAAAAAAAAAAAAAAAAAAAATAAAACAAAAAATTTAACTGTTGTGTAACTAATGAAAGAGATAATCATTATCAATTATGTCATCAATCCATCATAACTCAAATAATCTACTACTATTTTAATAATTAATTTCCGCTTTTTTAAAAAGCGGAAATTAATTATTTCAATTTTAATCATAATAATATGGCATCGGTTTCAAAAGAAGCGATAAAATTGCCATCGCTTTCACCTTTCGGAAACGCTGTAGCAGGTTCTTTAGGGGCACTTTTTGCTTTGGCTATCGTTTATCCTTTGGATATGTAAGTAAATAATTAGATAATATACTTTAAAAAAAATTTTGTTGCAGTACCGAAAACTAAAAAAAAAAAATCACCCTAGTATAAAGACTCGACTTCAAGTTCAATCAAAAAGTGCATCATCGGCCAATGAAAATTATTATGAATCAACAGGAGACGCGATATATAAAATATTTAAAAGAGAAGGGATTTCTGGGTTATATGCAGGATTACCAGCCGGATTAATTGGAGTTGCATCAACAAATTTTGCATATTTTTATTGGTATTCATTTTTACGTACGAGGTATCAAAATACCATAACGAAAAGTTCGAATACACAACAATCCTTGTCAACAATATCAGAATTATTATTAGGAGCGTTAGCGGGTGCGCTTGCTCAAATATTTACAATTCCTGTATCAGTTGTAACGACAAGACAGCAAACGGCACGCATTGAAGAAAGAAATGGATTGATCGATACAGCGAAAGAAATTATATTAGATGATGGTATTCCAGGATTATGGAAAGGGTTAAAACCCAGCTTAATATTATGTGTTAATCCTGCTATTACATATGGAGCTTTCGAGAGATTTAAGGATATAGTTTCAAAAAGGTTATCAACTAATGGAGATAATCAACAATCACTTGGTCCTGCTATCATTTTCTGGTTAGGAGCTTTAAGTAAAACTATTGCTACTATCATTACTTACCCTTATATTATGGCTAAGGTTAGATTACAATGTAAACAATCAAAGGATGAAGATATATTTGATGAGCGTTATGAAAAACTTGAGGAGGATTATTTTAACATAGTTGAAAGCAATGAAAGAAAATCCATTAAACATGTAAGATATACCGGTGCGATTGATGTGTTAAAAAAAGTCTTGGAGACTGACGGTATCCTTGGATGGTATAAGGTAGGCATATTTTTTCTATTAACGTTTTTACCTTTTTTCTTTATTATTATTATTTTTATAAAGTATATCAAAAATTATTTAGGGGATGCAAGCGCAAATTACAAAAGCTGTATTATCCCAAGCTTTATTATTTTACGTTAAAGAATATACAACTAAATATACCATATTGCTTTTCGCTTTATTCGCAAGATTGGCATCTAATAGAAAACGAGTAGTATCGTAGGCTTTTTTTTCATCGTCGTTGGGTTATATTTATTGATATTATTTATATTGTTGGACTTTTTTTTTGTTTTGTGATTTATTTTAAATTTTAAATCATACTTGAAATAATAAGATTATAACTTTATATTTTAATGAAGCGACAAAAGTCGCTGGTATAAGAATTCCCTTGAGGAATTAATCATTGCAAGAATTAATATAATATAATTTTATTTGATAATAAAGTGAACGATAAAATAAAATAAAATAAAATAATTTTGCGGAGGAACTCGATTTATCTAAATGTTAATAACCATCATCATAACCCTCAAATCCATTATGCCCTACCTACGTTTTTGTATTTTACTTTTTGAAGTAACAGAGATTTTCGGACCTTTTTGGTTGTGTTTTCTATACATAGTTGATAAGGGTATATAAGCAAAAGGATCGGGTTGACCTTTCTTTTTAATGTCACCGCCAGCATTTTTGGCTTTATATGCTTTACCAATCGTAATGACTTTATTGGTATTTTTTATTGTATTTTTACGCTTTTGATTTCTTGACGCAATAGCGTCGATAGGTTCGATATTGTCTAGATCCATGTCATCATTTTTCTTATTTCCTTTTTTAAATTTAATTTTATTCCTTTGACCACGAATAAATCCATCACCTGATTTTTGAGCCTCTAGAAAGTGATTGTCGGCTTCCTGCATCATAACGTCGGAAGAATTCGCTCCTTCGTCCTCGGAATCATCAGATTCATTTATAATCATTTTACCATCACGGGTTTCTTTGAATGCTTTTGAAAAATCTTTTCTTTGTTTTCGAGTATTGGAAGGATTTAATCCGATAACTTTTGATATTATTCCTCTATCCAAGAAATCAACCGGTGCATCATCTCCACTTTCATCACCTCCTTCTCGAATCCATGAACCATCTTTCCTTTTCTTTGAAGATTCCTTGTTCTTCTTCTTAATTTCACCATTTTTATTAATAATGCCACCCACTTCATTTTCATCATCAGTATCTTCCAATTCACTTTCACTTCCATATAAAGCATCTTCATAAGCGCTATTGAAAGTTGATCTCTTCCCTTTATACTTTCCAATACGATTATTATCATCATGTTGATCTTCTTTCTTCTCCTCATCTTCCTCTGCTTCATCATCATCCATACTTGTTTCCGTGGCAACCTTTTTCCTTTTTGCGCGTTCCCTTCTCTTCTTAATATTTACTAATAATTTCTTATCACTTTCAGGTACATGTTGTTCGATGGTATCATAACCAAATCTTCTGATTAACCTTTCAAAGATGTGCCTAACTTTCACTTTAAAATGACTCTTGTGTTCATTTGACCAAGATAATATACCGAGAATGATTTGAGATAAATGAGGAGTTAATATATCCACATCCAAAGATATCGTTGTCACTTTAACGAAACCTAACGCGGCTTTAACAATTTCTCGATTAGGACAATTGATAAAGTTATTCATCGTATCAATTAACTTGTGGATAGAATCCTTATCAAGATCATTTTTGAATTCAAATAATAACCTTGACAAGGAAGTGATGGTGGCGCTTATCATGTGAGGGGTGGTTGCCGCTAATCCTGCTATTACCATGTTAAATAAAAATTCATCAATTGACGCATTCATTACGTCTGAGGAGGAGGATGGGTCGGATTCTAAAATTTTACTCATAATAATAGTTCCACCTTGTTTCATCTTATTACCCATCATTATTAAACATTCATAAGCATTTATCCTTGCCTTTTCATTCACTTCTTTTGTACTTAATATAACTTCTGATAATACATCAGGTATCATATGAAGGTCCGATGAAGGAAGTAATTTGATCACATTAATTAACGTTAATAACCTATCTTTTTTTGAAGCCGAATTTGAATTCATCGTGGAATTTCTTAATTTAATTTGTAAATCCTCAATATGATTTAGTATCATTATTTTACCATTCTCGGTTTCCGCTAATGAATTCATTATCTTGTAAGATTTCTTTTGTAACGTTGAATCTTCTTGAGAAAACAATCCGGTTAAGACCTCATAAAGTCGATTCATTGATGTCGCATCGAGGTAAGGAGTCATGGTAATAGTTAGGTCCAACATAGTGTAAGACATTGGAGGTGGGGTTGTTTCAACATCTTGCGAGGAGGGAGGAGGAGGGGGAGGAGTCGAATTTGATAAAGATTGTTGAAGAAGGTTCATAACTTTGGCAAAGGTCGTGGTAATATCCTTTGCAGGAGTGATCGTTAAATAAATTTTTATCACTTCTAATAGATATCCCCTATAAGCAGGTGATGTTTGGGAATATACATTAAAGAAAACTGCCAGATAATTATTCGAAAACTTTGTCAATAATTCTAAATTTTTCTTCGCGTCATTTTTATCAATACCATATAATTTTTTTAATTCTTGATCATTTTTCTCAGAATCCAATAATAACTTGTTCTTTTCAACTAAATTTTGTAAAGCTAAAGAGATAGTAGGACGTAAATCAGGTTTTTGATACATATTATTACTTAGCAATTCGCCAAGGGACTTGTTAAAATTTTTTTGTAAATCTGTTGGTAAATTACAAAATCCTGGTAATAAAGACCAAATTTGTTGTACTAAAGTATCATAAATTTTTGATTCGATTAAACGATTTTGCTGTTGAAATTCTAAAGATTTTTGTTGCAACCTTTGGCTCAATGGAAGGAATTCTTTTAAAAAATATTCCAACTCTGAATTTACAATATGATCCTTTAGCAAAGGTAATAACCAAGCTCTACCGGTATGATTCTTGATCCCAGGTGATTCCAAGTTTAATGGTAATATATTTAAGAGATATCTTGGTCCCATATTTTCTATAGCGAAACCTATCACCGCATCCGCTTCTTCTTTTAATTCGAAAGATTGATCCATTCTAACATCTGTCACGATCTTTAATAAATTGACGAGTAATTTTCGTGAAGATCGATGAAGCCTTTGAAATAATGATTTAGAAATCTCTAAAATCCCTGGCCAAGAATTTTTATATTTTATGATGAATCCACCTTCCACCGTTGAAATGATAACATTTAAACAACCTCGTCTTTGATCTTTATCATTTAACGTTTGTTGGATCATGTCATCGGTAATTCCAGATGAAATCAATTCACAAAGACATAAAGTGGCGCTTATAATGATATCAGAATTATCACTTTCTAATGTTCCAAAAATCCTTATGAAAAATTCTTGTAACATCTTTTCACTTTCACCTTTATTACATTCTACATAAATTGGAAACCCTCTTGTTATAATCATCAACCATTGAGGTAAAAGTTGAGGGTCTTTAACATTCGGCATTAAATCCATCAATGCTACCAATAACTCCTTAAATCTATCATTATGATGTTCTACCACCCCTTCACCTCCTTTTTGATGTTCTTCAAGGATGAAACCTTTTGAATTATTTTGAAACAATTCTTCAAATAATTGAAATGATGATATGGTTAAATATTTTTGATTACATTTAGGTATAAATATTAATATCTCACATAATGAATAAAGATTATCGATCGGCCATATGTTAATTATTCCTTTTAATAAATTTAAAATGTATATAACGGAAGTTTGATCGGTTTTAATATATTCTTTAAGTACTTTTGTACAAAATTCCATTGTCATGATAATCGCAGGATGTTTATTCGGACCAGCTTTTCCCCCGTCCGATGAGATTATCGAACTTAAGATTTTTTTGATAGCATCATGAACTCTTTTCCGTGGTTTGGGTCTGTGATCCAAAGAAAGTAATAATATATTTTGAAAAATTTTCTTTGTTTGAATTTGTTGCCAAATAATTATTTCTTGAACAATTAATAAATTTTCTAAGCAACCAATGATACTCCTTATGATGGCCGAATCATTTTTTCTCAACTCCAAAGAATCATTTAACACCAACAAGATTGTTGAATATTTACTTTTTAATATTGTTGAAGGGGTTTCTTTTAATACGATATTTAATAGATATAATATTGACCCGATTACATTTTCTTCTGAACGAGTTTGCTGCTGTTCTAATGTTGTAAGTAATGCTGCAAAGTAAGAAGTTGGACTTAATATGGCATTTTGTTCCTTTATGGTTTCTTCTATTGCCAATAATGTTATTGCTATTTGTTTTTGATTATCAAGTTTTGAATTAATTTGAGCACGAATTCTTTCAAATGTTTCTTCCATATTCTCCGAAATTTGATCAAAAAAAAAAAAAAAAAAAAAAAAAAAAAAACCATTTAGATAATCAATCATCGACATTATCAGTCACGTGGTTCATATGAATAATTTTGTAACTATATCCTACCTACCATACGAATAATTAGTATGAAGATAAGATTAAAGTAACTGGTGTTGATCTTAAAATCAAAGGATGATCAAACGACTCGAAATATTGATTCACGAAATCTACAAAATTGAAACATGTTTCGTTCCTTAAACTTCAACACATGATTATTATCTTTCTTTTTAACCTTTGCCGATTAATCCGGCTAGAAAGTATGAGAATCGTGTAACCTTCTAGTTCAAGCTTTTAATCTCCGAGAAAATAAGATAGGCGGTTATTTAAACGATGAAAAATGATTGCAAGTTCTTTCACGGCAACATATCATTGGGCACAAAAATTTCCGCAAATTTGCCTGTAAAGGTATTTTTTGCATCGAGATATAAATATAATTTTCTTTTTATAATTTCGGTGAATGTATTTCCCTCCTTTTATTTTAATGCAACTCCATAAATCAAATGATTTTCATGTACCGAGTCTACCTAAAAATAATAGAGAAAAGGGGTTTATTGGTAATCAACATAAAGTGGAAGAATTCAGGAGACTGAGGAGAATTTGGCAGTTCTTTTTTTTATTACTATTATTATTATTATTATTATCTTTTTTCAACATCAGGGAACCAATCAGAACCGCTTTTACGAATCCCCAAATCAAGTGATGTGATGTCGTTAGGTAGTTGAATGAATTAACTATTATTGCGGAGGCATGTTTAATTTCTAAATGCGGAATTAATATGATTTTGCCATAATTATAGCAAACCGCAGCAACACACTCACACGCACTTTACTTCAATCACGATCGTATCACTCAAAAATGACAATCAAATATTTAATAAATTAAATTAAATGTTAATTTATTTATTTATTTTATTGATATTTGGGCTTTAAATTGATTACCAAAAACTTTGGTCGATCCCGCAACAATTTGATATCATAAGCGCGGAGTTTAACCGAACATTAATAATTGTTAATTTTAGAACAACGACCGTGCGGGAAAACAACAATTCAAATCCACAATGAGTTCTCAATCTAATGACTATTTCGGTTCAATAAAAGGTTGCTTTTTTTGGGATTTGTTTGTTTTTTTTTTTAGGTCAATGAAATGATTAATGTGTTCCCCCGTATAACGTGCACACGAGGTCACTTTATATCACACCGAAAATTTACGTGTGTCAATTTAAAAGTTATATTAAACTTAAAATTATAAGTGATGTAATTTGGAGGAGAGGGTAAATTTCAATGTAAAGGTTTTATCCTCAATACAAATAATACAAATGTAAATAATCGTAATAGAAATAAAAAAGAATATTACGCAATCCAAAGCAATTTTAGAAAGTTTTTTTTTTTTAAAAAAAAAAAAAAGTATAAATAGAGTAACGTTTGCCAGGAAATATGCACTCGTCAATTTTTTTGGGTTGTACAAGAAAATAAGCTGTGCACGCTAATTTCTTATGTTACCATCATCATCATTAGTATTAATAATAATAATTATTATAATTATTATTATTATTATATTATTTGTTGTTATTACATTGAGTAAATTATATAAAAACGATACGTTTTCCATTCTCTTGTTAAATTTTTTTTTTTTTTTAAAAAAAAAAAACTTATCATTCATTCAGTTAAGAGTCCAAAAAGTTTATAATATTTATTTCCCCCATAATTTAATTTTCTTTAATATCACATTAATATCACGGAGATATAGATATTACTTCAACATTACGCATCTTTATAAAAGCTTTCGTGATTTCACTCGTAAAAGAGACCCAAGGTATGGCTACAACTGTTGCTGATGCTTGGGTCGTGATAAAAGATCCCCAGTCTGATACCATGTTTTACGCTAACCCGGTAAGTACTCGTCCTTTTCTTGGAGATGTAAAAAAAAGTCTTTATGCTTCTTGGCGGAAAATTGCTAATTGCTTTAACTTTAATAGGCAACTGGTGAATGTCTATTGGAGAAACCGAGGAATATACATTTATATCCAATACTAGGCGATGAATGGTGGGAATTATGGGATGATTATCATCAATTACCTTATTATTATCATTCCGTTACAGGTCAAACTGATTGGATTGTACCCTCATCTGGAACAATTATTCCCCTAAGAAAAATACAAAACTCTTCGATTGGAAAAAGATTATCCGCTGTATTCGCACAAGACGATAATTTTGATCTCATGAAGGCTGCCGCTGGAAATAATTCAAAACAAAATAAAGCATCAGGATCGTTATTATCTCCTAATGGTAATAATCAACAACCATTGTCTACGGCTTCGATAAAAGTTTCTCATCATCACAAAGGAGAAGAATTTATCCCATCATCATCGTCACGTGATGTTGATTCAATTAGCGTGAAAAGAGATAAATCAAAGAATTCAAATACGAACCGAATTACGCTTAACGATTCTGAGAACGCAAAAGATTTCTCTCAAAATTCTTCAGATAATTCAAGTAACAGTGAGACAGATGTTGATGCGTTAACACAGGTAAGGGTGGCGACGTGAGGATTTAACAAAATTTTAATTATAACACGTTAAAACCTTTCCCCTCCATATTTTATAGAAGCAATCGAGAAGAAATAATTCTCTGTCAACAAAATTTTCGAAATCAAGTACAACGTCATTTGATTCAACTTATGTCGCTTCGAATTCAACATCTCGTTCAGTAACCCCATCTAGTATAATAAACAATAATGGGTCCGATGTGCATGTAAATCACGTAAATCAGCAACAATCCTTCATGGCTGTTTCTCCAAAAAAGTCCTTTTTGGCCGCTGATAAGGCACGTAAATCCGGTATAAGTAATCCTGTAGTAAATATTGGTAAGTAGTTGTATTATTTTTAGATTAAGGTAAAAACTTTGAAGTATCTTGGCGGATAGTTATAATCGTGCATTGCATTACATGTGCATGACATATTCTATTTATATTATGATGCACGGTCTTTTTATATTTAGTTTTGATTTGAATTTATATGAAACTTAACTAAAAAAATTTTTTTTTTTGTTTGTTTTTTTTATTTTTTTTTTTTTTTTTTTTTTTTTTTTTTTTTTTGGATTGTTTCAGATGCTGCAGCTGCAATGAAGCCTACTGGGAGCTTATATCAGGATCTACAACGTAAAAAGCCGGCTTATCAGGTGCATACGAGGAAGTTAAGTACTGGGTGAGTCTACTAAAAAAAGAAATTTTTTTTTTCTTATTTTCTCCTTTTCAACTCTTTTTTTTTTTTTCTTTTCTTTTCTTTATACCCTATCTCTCTCTTTAATAAAGAGAACAACAATTCTTTTCTTTTTTCGTTTCTTAAAATAAAATTTGATATTAAAAAATGGATTGGATATATTCAAGAAGAAAATCGATTTTAGAGCAAATAACTGCAAATATACTAATACCGATTTTTGCTTGGTACAAAAATAGGGAGGTTATGACATTACCACCCGAATTACAAAAAGATATAAATCAATTTAGAATTGATGGTTTCGCTAGAAAGTATTTTAACACTCATAAAAAAGGAATATTTAGAAAGAAAGTACCTGTAGAAAAGATGTTGTTATTTCAAAAGGTAATGTCAAAAAAAAAAAAAGGAAGCGAAGTAAAATGTTCACAAACTCAACCTTCTTATATTTTATGTTAGGATTTGATTAATCAATCTTTGATGGTACTTAATACTAATGTACAAAAAGATGCAATAAAATGTTTTAAAGTAATTCAACGTATAATGGGAGATCGATCCAAGGGAAGGAATGGGCCCGCAAATGTGCTAGAAGATATACAGTGGTTGTTAGATCGCGGAATATTATATGGTGAATTGAGGGATGAAATTTATGTACAAATTTGTAAACAACTTAATGACAATCCCAATATGTAGGTATTATAAATTTTGAAGAGATCTATCCAAGAAAAAGGTGTTAAATTTTTTTTTTTTTTTAATAATAGGGAAAGTATAAGGAAAGGATGGGAATTATTAAGTGTGGTAACAGTTACATTCCCCCCTTCAAAAAATCTTGAAGCATATTTAATGCAATATATTGTAGACCATTTTTCAAAAACTGAAAATCAAGTTGATATATTGAGCAAACATGTACATAATCGTCTATTAAGAATATGTAAACGAGGTCCACGTGGTAAAGCGCTGACATTGGCTGAAATTGAGAGAGCTAAGGTGAGTTTAGGAATAACTCAGCGCCAACTTTAATTGTCATTAAAATCTACCTTTTTAAAAAAAAAAATTTCTCTTTAACATAGGAAGCACCATTTAGTCCTTCAGTTTTTGGAGAAAATTTGGGATTTATAATGAAATTACAAGAACAAGCTTTTCCACAACTTAAAATACCTAGGATATTACCATTTCTTGCACACGCTATTTTAGAATTAAATGGTCAATTTAGTGAAGGAATATTTCGTGTACCAGGGGATGCTGATTATGTAACCGAATTGGTAAGTAAATTTGAAAGTATGATTTCAAAGATTTCAAATGAAATTTTTTTGAACAATACTTTGACGTCTTTTCGTTTTTTTCTTTTTTACTTTAGAAATTGAGGATAGAAAAAAATAGATATGATATGAGTGGTATAAGTGATCCAAATGTACCATCATCATTATTAAAATTTTGGCTGAGAGATTTGGCTGAACCACTTATACCTGACACATTCTATGATAAATGTATTAAATTTTCTGAAGACAAAAAGGCTGCCGTTGATATTGTCAAGGAATTACCTTTAATTAATCAAAGAGTTGTTGCTTTTACCATTAATTTCTTACAGGTTGGTAAAGAAAAAAAAAATTTAACTTTAAGATGAATCTTCTTTGGTAAAGAATACTAACTTTTGTTTCGTCTTTTCCCTTAAACAGAAATTTGCTGATCCCCAAACGATTAGGATGACAAAAATGAATATACATAATTTGGCTA